CCCCAAAACCCCAAAACCCCTGAGTGCCTAATAGACTGATTTGGAGTAGAATGTGACAAATGATTAAACAACTTAATAAATATATATTATGGCATGAGTTTTTATTACAAATAAATCAATTATATAGCAATTTAAACACATTAAATGAACTCTTAACTTCTATTAAGAATAGTCGACCCTGAGTTAAGTCGTAAATTTGCGCTCTCAAGAAATAAAGAAATACTTAAATCCTGTCTCATGCTCCTAGTAATCAGATTGATCAACCTTATCATTTTTATTATCAATGTAAAATTGAATGGAGGAAGCAATTCAGTTGAATTTTGGGCGCTAAGAATTTTTGGTATCTCATGGTAAATATTTATCATGATTCTTGGCTATTTCTTTCCTATCGTCTTCAATCAGATTTACTCCTTATTAATATTACCTACATTTTTGGTAAACTTAATGCCATTGATAAATAGTCCAATAACTGGTCAGCAATTAGTTGGAAATATTATTACATATACATTTTTTCACTCAATTGGGATTCTCTTAAATAATAATTGGATAGTTACCCTCATTGGAATGCTGATAAACTTTGCATTTACTTGCGGATTTTATATTCATTTCTTTGGACAGTTTGATTATTCTCTACATTGGCTATTATTTGCTACTGTCATAGTGAGTGCCTTAACTTGCTATTTATTTGAAAAAAGATTAAAGCTGCAATTTATCTAGCTTTAATAGATAAAGAATATGAATGAGGAGCTAAAGCAAATATTTGATAAAATCCCAGAAGGAATATTATTATTCAACGAAAGTACTTAAAGAATATCACTCACGAATCTTGAATTTAAAAAACTCTTTACTAGTGAGAATCAAATAGATAATGATAAAGTATAAAATGTGATAAAAGATGTTTCATTGAGAAGATACCATCTTTAATAGATAAGTGATATAGACTAAAATGAAATATCACTCAAGAAACCTTTTTTGAATATTTTCGAAGCCTCAAACGGAGATTATTAAGATGAGTGTTTTGAGATCATTCACAAAAACTAAGTTCTATTAACTGACTCAATAATTTCATAAGATCAAAGCAATTATGAGATAGTAAGCTTGTCATAGTGCAAAATCAATTTTTCTGGATCCTAACATTCTATGATACTAATTAAGAACCTTACTCCAGTGGTGAAATATGAAAAACTTAAAGTAGAAAACCACTACTATGAGATGCTAACTGCTACTGTTTCTCATGACATGCGTACTCCTTTAAACGCTATCATCGGACTCCTTGGTAATCTTGAATCATTTGTAGTCCATAAAGGCAAAAGATTCCTTCCAATAATCTAAAATTCTTCTAAATTCATGCTTTTCCTAGTCAATGACCTTTTAGATTTTTTCTAAATAAAAAATGGCAAATTTAGACCAAACGAAAGACCAGTAAATCTAAGAAATTCAATAAGAGATCTCATTGAAATGTTTAAAATAGGAGCCTCTGAAAAGGGTATAGAGCTGATATATTTTTGCTAAGATGATTTCCCTAGTGAATTAAGTGTTGATGATTCCAGAATCTAGTAGGTCCTATTAAATTTACTCCAAAACGCACTTAAATTTACATTTGAAGGTACCATCTAAGTTCTTATGAAATTTAACCGATCCTTAAATGAAGTTGCAATTAGTGTCACTGACTCAGGAATCGGTATTAAGCAAGAAGATAGAGAGAAATTGTTCTAAATGTTTGGTAAGCTCCAAAATACATTTGCCATAAACACTTCTGGAATCGGAATAGGACTAATTATATGTAAGAAAATAGTGGAGGCATTTCAAGGAACAATAATATTAGAGGATTAAGATATCAACAAAAAGGGCTCAACTTTTACATTTACTATTAAGGTAAAGGAAGCAAGAGATCATGATTTTAATTTTAATAACCTTGATGAAATCCATATAGATCTAGGAACTTACAGATCAACTCAAAACTTGGTAGAGGAAGAGAGAAATTACACAGAAAATCTTGACTAGTCAGTAGAAAATATCTACTCTATTGAGGAATGTGATTCACCTATGAATATTAAGGATTTTCAATAGTTTTCAGATATAAGGACTAAAACTGGCTTGAACACTATTCAAAGACAAAGGCCTGATTGTCCTGAATGTAGGAATCAAACAGATATTCTCATTGTCGATGATAATATATTCAACATGGTTACACTTTAGACGATTCTAGAGATGCAATTCAATTTAAAATCTGATAAAGCAATGAACGGCTTAGAAGCAGTAATGAAAGTAAAGGATAGAATTGGAGATACCAACTAAATTAGATGCTAAAAACACTATTCAAGAAACTATAAAATCATATTTATGGATGGAAATATGCCTATAATGGATGGACTCTAAGCAACTTAGGAAATTAGACTGCTGGAACAAGTGATATAAGCAGAGCAAGATTCCTAGAATTCATTAAACATCCGTAATTATAAACCCTCAAAGGCATATATTATAGGCTGGACTGCTTATGATACAGAAAGTTTTAAGTAAAGATGCTTTGCAAGCGGAATGGATTACTTTATTGTGAAGCCAGTAAGCTCCCAAATATTGGAGCCGATAATTAATAACAACCTTTTTTGAAGGTTTAGAAAGAGTATTTGATTCAAAATGAATTTAATGGAGTCTAAGATATAAGATTATTATGCCTAAAAATAATTGAATGCTTGATTATATTAATTTTTGATTTCATAATTAAACAGAAAACTGCACTCATGGGGTTTTGGGGTTTTGGGGTTTTGGGGTTTTGGGG